TGGAATTCTATTCTTACCGGAAATTCCGGCGTCCAAGAATGAATCAGCGTGATGTGGATGGTCTGCAGAGAATATAACTATCAAGCCGGGAGTTTGCTTTTGCTCTTGTATCTTTCTTCTCTTTTAATTCTGAATATCGGAATAGCTGCAATATTTTTAAAATCTTCGAAACATAGCTTCAAATTTCAAATTTTCGTGCAATAGATTTATATAGTTCGGAATATTGTAATATGCTGGTTGTGCAACTGGGGTGGTTGAGTTGAGACATAGGTTTGAGAACTCACAGCTTTATTTAGATAAGAACAAACACGACATACATACAATATTTAACAAATTCAAAAGCGTATAATTATAGATTCGGGGAACGATTCCACTTCTAAGCCGTAAACCTGATACTCAGGTACGCGCGGGGGGTACGAAATATACTTCATCTCTTGGTGAGGGTCTGTAGGCCAACTGAGCATTTCTCCTGAATGCCACAGGGGGCGCTATCGTAAATGCGTAGGGGGAATCATGGCTACAATATAGTTAACAATCGCAGTATTGGTCAGATAATAGATCCACTGAATATAAGGCAGAAACACATAAGCCATATTTTAAGGGGCGCATGAAACAACGAATTTTTCACCACAACCTGTTTTCACTATATAGAGTGACGTAATAGAGATAATAAAATAATTTAAAAGCCTTATAATCACAGAGGGTGAAATTTAAAAGGAATTTTAGTTCTATTATTTATGTCTTTGTACATTCTGAATAACGCTAAATCTGCTATTCTGTGAAGAATAATCTTAGATTAAATACCTGGAATTTGAAACTATATAATTCAAATTAACTTGAAACTTTTCTTTTCTAATAAAAGATTAATTAGTAGTTTTATATTTACAGAGAAATATATATATATATATATATTAAATGATGCGAATCGCACCATGATGTACTTTCAAATAAAGTGCTCCTGAATCAAATCATGTTAATTATACGATTCTAAATAATTAAAAAATGTATAGCAAGTTAAATCCAACATACATTAATTCAAAGCTTTTAAATATATTTCTTTTAAGTGCACATAAATGAAAATATCAGTAAGCTTTTTTTTTTTGTTTATCGTAAGCAATGGGCAACGATAAAAAATAGGCAATCAACTTTTAAGACATCAGCACATTCAGTAGACTAAAACTTCCCAGTCTGCGATACTTTCTTCTACAATAAATGGTCCTTAAAGTAAACAAGCTGAAATATTAACAGTAGTAGAGTCGATTGTGCTGTTTCAGCAAGAAGAAATGAATAATTGAATAAGAGGAACTGGAAGAGGAAAGCTATTTCCTTTCAGAGAACTTCGCCAAAGCACAACAAGAAACTCGCCAAATAATAAAAAAAAAGGGCTGGGCTTGCCTTTTCCAGCTGATGGAACGGACAGGGCTTCTATCCCAGCGATAAGTTGATTGTTATCGACCACTAATTTTATTGCCTCAAGTTTTTGCCAGTTACTAACGTGGCGGTTGTTAACCATGAGCGGTTATTCTTAGGGACTGTGCCATTAACAAAGAAAATTGCCCGCCAGATTAATGGGAAAAGAAATAATGGGCTTTTGGGCTGGAAATGCTGATTGTGTAATACAAATTTTGCTGTTCTTTAATTCAAATAAAATTATTATGACAGCAATGATAACTTTATGGAATATTATGTATCCTAGCGCTCAAATAATGGTAAGGATTTAGATATTAAGATTTTTATATCGGACTAAACTTGACATTGCAATATATGAGCACATTTTGAATGTTTAAATAAAATAAAACCCAGTGGCAAAGTACGCAGTTAGCATTTAGAAGGGCTAAGGTCTGAATCCTCTGTCGGCGTCTTTTGCGAGCACTGAGCAAGAAGTTTCAATTGTAGTTGCAACATGTGTAAACTTTCTCTCATCAGTTTTAAGATCGTCTGCTGGAAGTTTTATTGATTTTTTTTCACTCACGCAAATGAGAAGACGCAAATTAGAAGCAGTTAGCCGGAACGTAATGTTCTCCTGTCCTCTACCGTTGGTGGACTGTTCATACCATAAGTGGTATCGAGGCCCACTGATATTCAACAAAAGTGTCATAAAAATGAATGCAAATGGATATTAAAAATCATTTCTATGATTTCATAGGTTAGAATAAAGTATCGAAAATGCTCTTTTAGAAAATAAAAAAAAAATGAATTATAAAATCATTTGAATTCAAATTTTATGAATGAGTTGGTTATTAAATATATTTACTTCATAGGCAATTAGATGGGATATTTATAATATAAAATATAGCATATCAATAAATAACGAATATGTATTAGAAATAAAAATATAAAATATATCATAATTATTTGAAAAAAGGCTAATTATTTATTTAAAAATATAATCTCATATTAATGTAATATTCTCTTATAATCTCACTTTATAGTTTGCTTTTTAAAAATGTTTTTCCAACACTTATTTTGTACATGGAATTTATTACAAGCATGTAATGTTTTGAAAAATACGTATATACTAGAGTAACTCTGAAATTTTTGAGACAGTGGCAGACGACAGACGCAGGAGAAAAAATATTCGTTAAATTTGTAAATTTGAACTCTTTAATGGCCGCAGACGAAAATTTGTGGCATCAATTGCAATTTAGCTGTCGTAGAATAGATTATGGAAGAAAGGAAAATGGAATTGACGCGAGAGCATTACCGCGCTATGATTTACTACGATTTTAAAGTGGGGTTAAATCAAGAAGAATGCCTTCAACATCTGCAACTAGCATATGGAGATGAAGAGCACCATCTTGTGCTACTGTGTTTAGATGGTTTACAGAAATCTGCAGAGGCCGAACTTCTATGCTGGATCAAAAGCACACAGGAAGACCTTCATCAGCTGTCAGAAAATGTGTCAGCCATACGTAAAATGTTAGTCTATGATATTCGCTGCACTTACCAAAGAAGAAACTTAACATTGGATTCGCAGCTATACATAGAATTATTCATGAAGAACTGTATATGAAAAAATTAGTTTGTCGTTGGGTCCCCCATAATTTAACAGAACACCAAAAAACGGAACATGTTATAATCTGCAAAGAAAGCATACAATTATTTAACGATGGTGGACACCGCCTTATTTCTAAAATCATAACTAGTGATGAAACTTACATACCATTTTTTGACGTTCCATCACGACAAGAAAGTAAAGTATGGGTATTTGAAGATGACCTCAAACCAACAAAAGACAACGAGCAACGGTGAAAAGACAACGAGCAATGAAAAAAGTAATGTACGCCGTTTTATTCAAAAGTACGGAACTGGTCAAAGCCATCAAGCTGGAGTGACAGAAGACAGTCACAGCTAACTGGTACACCACTAAGTGTCTTCCAGAAATTCTTCAAGAAGTGGATGTAAGGGTACTCAAGCTTCACCATGATAATGCAACTTCTGATACGGCAAGATCGACCGTCGAATTTCTTGAACAAAAACACATCAAAGTGATAGAATATTCCCCTGATTTTGCTATGTGTGACATTTGGCTTTTTTTTTAAATTTACGTGGTTCGCCGTTTCCATTTCGAAGATGAGATTGATGAGGCTATAAAAGCATATTTTTCATCAATTCCAAGAAATGGATGGCGTGAAGCATTTAATCTTTGGAAAAATTGTCTGCAAAAGTGCATTGATGTTGGAGGGGACTACTTTGAACACCCTTAACATTTGGTAAGTTAAACTTGTACCATTCAGCCGTATCAACATTATTAAACTTAAAATCAACATTATATTTTTATGATACTTATATTCGAAGTAACTTTTTGTTCACAATTTTATTTGTCTTATGTTTTGAAATAGCTTCCAATGTATACTTAGGAAATATTATATTCTGAAAAAAAAAAAAAAAAAATATGATACACTAAAAAATCAATAACCCAGTCATTTTAACGGATGTTATAAAAAAAAAAAAAAAAACTCGCATTGTGGCTACTGGTATTCTATTTTGAGAAACAAACACTAAGCTTTTAAAAACATATTTATCCCTGCATTCATAACTTCAGAAAGAAAAATAAAAAAGAAAGAAAGTAAATCTCGAATTCAAATACGGACATATGGGACTTCATACATAAAATAAACACGACATAAAATCCACAGTTTTTTCTTTTTTACTGTTTTGATCTATGGCATAAAAAAGTAGCATTTTTCCGAAAATATGTTCAAAAATGTTTCAAATTCTATCGCTTTCACGAAATGTCCTTGGGCCGATTATTTAAAGTTTTTGCACTCAAGCGATTCGGGGCCGCGCATTTTTGTCCGGGGGTTTGTCCTTCCCGTTCGTTTCGCTTTCTTGGCGTATCGATAAACATGCCGAATCATCGATTTACGTGTAAAGAATTGTGTCGGTGTTACGGGTTAACGCGTCTGAAGGTTGTTTATCCTTACGAAGTAAACGATGATAAATGTTTTCCCCAGATTGGCGAGCTTGTAGTTGTGTGAAAGAAAGGAAGAAGCTGCTGTGTGAATTGAAGTTCCAGAGTTCACAAATCAGGTAGAAAAACAAAAAATATAAAAACTAAAATTTAAAGAACAAGTGAAATTTTACTATAGAATTTATTTATTTATTTTTTAGTTTTACAGAATTTATTTCATCTTTGTGCTGCAATTATTTTGTTGAAAAGGAGATATATGTCATCTATAGCAAAAGAGCAATTTTCAATTATAATTGTTGTTGTTGTTGTTGTTTCTTATCCCACTTGGCTGGCCAAGCCCACGAGCCCATGCGTGCTCATGATTGAAGGGGAAGGAAGCAGCTTCTGTTGTGATGGAGCACCCGTAGGTAGAAGCCTGACTTTTGCTCAGTGACGCTCTTACAGTCATAGGAGACTGGGACCTACAGCTTAAAGTGGATTCCGAACCACTACAAACATCCATGGCACCGCCGGGATTCGAACCCGAAACCTGTGGCACCGAGTGCCAGAGCGCTAGCCACTCGGCCATTCAGGTCCCAAATTTGCCAACGGCACGCGGTGTTCCCAGGTGGTCACCCACCCAAGTACTGACCGCGCCCAATGATGCTTGACTTCGGTGATCTAACGAGAAATTCTAATTGTAAACCCTGATATATAAATATTATAAAAATAAATTAAATCAAGTGAAGATAAAAAGGAAAATCACTTGTTCATTTGATACTCAATTAGACTTATAAAATTAAGTTATGCTACACTTTATTACATGCTACACTTAAGGTATACCTATAAGACATGTTATAGTTAAGATACACCTATAAGGCAGGGGTGGCCAACCCACGACTCTCCTTGAACATTTTTCCGGTCCGTGAAATTTAACACACTTTTATAAAATATATTTATTTTATAATGGGCAAAGTAGTGAAAACCAATGATTTAAAAAATATATATAATTTGTGCATCCATATATTCAAAGATTAACCGTCAAAATTATGAGAAAAGATTAATTTTGATTTTAAAATAATATTCTCCGGATATATGACATATATTGCCTGTTTTATTTTTGAGTTTACAATTATGATTTCGCAGAATAATTAAATTATATTCTGCGAACATATGATGAGTGGAGAAACAAATATCGCAATAGTAAAATAAATATTTTTTAATGATTTCGTTTATATTTATATATATTTTTTATATTTCAATTTTAGTGTTTTATATTTCTTTACAATGTGCGTTTAATATCATTATTATTCTATTATCTATGTTTACATGTAAGAATAATAGTAAACGCATTGTAATAACTCATTATGTTTCAATTTTCCACTCAAAAAAAATGTTTATAGTGGGTCTAAATCTAATATGGTTTTATATATAATTTTATATTCGGTCCGCATAGTTATGATGCATTTCCAAAGTGGCCCGCAAGATCATTTGAATTAGCCACCCCTGCTATAAGATATACTACCTTTAGGTTATACCTATAAGATATGCTACCTTTAGGTTATACCTATAAGATATATTACCTTTAGAACCTACCTATAAGGTATGACTTGAGAGTTTTTGGTGTGGCATCACTTAGTTCGGAAACACCCTGCCTTTTAAGTCACTACAAAGTTGAAGTCGGAGTAGTATAATTTTTTAAGGTTACTACAGCTAAGACATACTGACGTTAAATTGTTAATACAGTGCCTTAATTTAAAGAACATTTGAAATTCAGGAAACAAACTGTCAGAATTATTTGAAAATTTCATCAGAATTATAAAAGAAGTAAGTATTTTATTCAAAAAATAAAGTTAACATAATTAAATTTAAATAATAAATACTCGAACTTTAAAGTATTCATAAATAACATTATTTATAATATTTATTTTCCATCAAGTAATTTATATACTACTGACCTAAATTTAAATTATTTATATATTCCAACAAGAGGTACAGCGACAGCAAGCCTTGCAGTACTCCATATGGATTTTGACAAAAAAAAAAAAAAAAAAAAAAAATTTAAAAAAATATTCTGTCTTTTAAAAAAGTTAAGTAATTCAAATAAATTATTTAATTTTGATTTTCAATAGATTTATATACTATTTATATCAAGTTGGTGTTAGTTTGGAAGTTTTTGTAGAACGTTTTCTGGGAGTTTTGCGTACGTTAAAAATAAATCAATAACTTGAAGATTATCACGAGTGAGTGAATTGTTGGCACACGTAATCTATGTTCCATGTCTGATAAATGGTCAGACCACGGTCTAAGAAGAATGCAATCTTCAGAAAGAAATGTTTGATGTAAATGCTGGAAGCAGGAAATATTTGATCCCAGTCCAAAGATTCGTCGAATTTTGTGCTAAATGAGGATCACGGTTGATTTGCCGACTAACAAAATCCCGCACATTCTCAACAGATGGCATATTTAGTGAAAAGATGAACCGAGGAATAATAAGGTATGCGACATATTCCAAGGTTGCTTTAACTCCAATCCAATTTTTTTCCATATTTGGTATTGGTCGAGTATACAACAAACGACAAACGAAATCCCAAATATTTTTATGATTGACACGTCTGGTGAATGGTCAGACCAAGAATGAAGAAGTTGATGCATCCCAAGAATGTTCCAGCGATTCTTGATCAGAGTCCAAACTTTCATCATGTTTCGTACTGGATGTACATCATGATCGAATTACCGATTAACTAAATCCCACACATTTCTAATGGATGACACATTTGGTGAATGAATGAAAAATGGAAAATGGATTGAAAAATGTGTTCAATATTGCTTTATTCCAAATTAAATTATTTGCCATGTTTGGTATTGGTCGAGAAACACAAAGGAATTACCTACAAATGAAATCTAACACATTTATTATAGTTTTCATGTCTGATAAATGATCAGACCATAAAAGAAGATATCGTATTCCAGGAATCTTTAAGATAATTTCATTTGAGTTCAAAGCTTTGTTACATTTTGTGCTAGACGAACAACGCAATCGAGTTATCAACTACTGAAGATCTTCGTATTTTTCAGATATTAGATTTTAGGTGAAACTGCGGATCGAGGAAGGTAAAGAAATATGCCTAGTTACAGACATGCTGCAGAATGCCTTAAAGTGACGCCATAGATTTTCTGTATTTGGTACTATATTCTAGTATCTAGTACCTCTATATTCTAGTCTGTAATATTCTTACAGACTAACGAAATCCCACATATTTTCAACAGGTGGCTTCTGTAGTTAATAGTGGAAAATAGGGACATATATATCAACAAGCGGGTGATACATATTACCACAAAGTAATGCCTTGCAATGCCTTTTAGCTTCTACTAGCCAGAGTAATGCGTAAAAGAAGGGTATAACTTTGTGCACCAAACCCTTCTTAATTATGTGATAGGATTATATTCACATTTCCAAAAATCATTCATTAACCGCGTTATCAAATGCCACCTACTCAACCGTTTCCAGTATGCAGCCTATGGAGATAATCCACAGCACAGATAGAGACGAGTTATGAACACTACAGCCTGAAGCTGCCTTATACACAGCATGTTGATCGAAGTATGCTTGATTTGAAAGCCAGCAAGTGATGCCAAAACGAAAACTCATATGCAGCTATCTGAGATGCGGGTATAAGCACGATAAATTTTTAGTTTGGGATATCATTTGGGGTCGAGGAGGATGGAATAAAGATACAAACCCCTGAACCCCACTCTCTTCAGGTTTTTGTTCACAATCATAGTGCAACTTTCTCCCCTTCATTACATATACTGTTAATGATCATTCCAACTCTAGATACAATAGTGTGGCCTGATGTAGTAGGAAGACAAATATGTAACTCGTTATGTGCACTTGTAGCAATTCTCCAAATTCAGGATAATTGCTCATATCATGCTGAAATGTCTGTCTCTGTTATGTAGATCAGCCTTCTGGAATACCTTGTTAACATGACATTTCGTGCTTCATTTCCAGACTTGTCTAGTCCTTTTGATCCCACTGTTTCCTAACTCACAGCTCACTGAGAGATTTACAGACCATGCACGCTCTCTACATCTGTATTGTTTCAGAGCACGCATGCACTATACATCAGATTTAATGTTTTGCAATTTTACTTATTGATAATACTTTTAATAATATTATAATGATTATACATTTAATAATAAAATTATGAAAATACTTTTAAGAATAATATAATGATAATACTTTAAAATTAATCATACTTTGAAGCCCTCTAAATTTAATTTTATTTGTATGTAACCTTGGTGTTGTAATCTTAATAAATATTATCATAAAATCAATGAGATATGATAATAACAGTATTAGATATTATAAGCAAAATTTATTAATTTTAATTAAATATATTTATTTGTTATTCAATATCACATCAGTAATGGATTGTTAGGAGTAATTTCTCATAATAATTAAATATGCAATTCAAAAAGTTTTATTTAAATTATTATGATATTTATATATTGTGCCAACATTTAATTAAATATACAATTAAATTTATTTCTTTAAAATATGTGTAAGTTCGTATATTTAAAATTCATTCAACTGAATTATGATAGGGACCTGAATCGCCGAATGGCTAGCGCTCGGTACCACAGATTTCGGCTTCGAGTCCGGTAGTACCATGAAAGTTTGTAGTGGTTCGGAATCCTCTTTAAGCTGTAGGTCCGGGTCTCATATGACTGTTGAGCGTTGGGCGTAGAGTTAACAACCCTTCCCCGTAAAAAGGAACATCTCACGTCTCGAAATCTACCAGTAGGCAGACGCCCTTGGCCCACAATGGGCTGTTGGGCCAATGAGGATGAATTATGATAAGATAAGTTCTAAATTCAATAGGAATAAAAAAAGAAGAAGAAATTGTTATATTTTAAAAATATTTTTTTATACCTAACACCTAATAAATAAATCTGAATTAATTAATGAATTAATTAAATATTCTCATTTATATATATATATATATACATATGTAAATATATATAATTAAATTACATATACAATTTTTATAATTTAATGTGTGTAATTAATGCGGTGTGATTCGTTTCAAATATTTTTACATAATAATTCATTCAATTAACAATTTGTAAACATTCTCAGAATATAATAAAAGCTTAATTATATTTTAATAGTAATTCTTAAATATTCTCAGAATATAATAAATGCTTTTCTATACATACATAAAACTTTACATTCCATTTTTAATTATTGTAAATAGCGTTTCAAAACCAAAAATTATATCTGTAAAAATGTGATAACAAATGTTTAATTGCCCCGCATTCAAATTCCTATCCATTTAAATTTC